AGAGGATGACACGGAGTTGAAGGTTCTCCTTTCCTGGTGCTGAGATGGCCCCAAGTCAAAGCATGCAAGTGGTTTAAAGAAGCAGGAAAAGCAAATAGATTTTCCCCTCGAGCCTTCAGAGAGACTGCATCTCGCCATTGCTTTGATGCTGTTCCAGCAAAACCCACTTTGTACTCTCTGAATTCCTGGAGAATAAAGCAATGTATTTTTTTGTACCATGTTGTGGTAATTACCATGTCAAAATGAAGTTCTTTTTGAATTTCTCCAAAGGACAATAAAATTATATATCCTGACCTTTTGTGTCTCAAGTATTTACAACTTATAATTGCTTCTAGGCCTTTTGGCTAAGATCAAGTGTAGCACCAAAGTATTTACAATTTACAGCCGAGTCTAAAAGGTCTCCCAAAGATACAGCAACTGAAATACCTAAGCACATATCAAATGAAAGATTAATGACAGAGCCTGCCTTAGCGCTGTATGAATACATATTCATTTGGGAGCTGACCTTTAAAATTACCCCGAGGAATGCTTGAACCCTATAAGGGAAGTCAGGAATAAAACGTCACATCGGCGAGTCTAAGCCAGTGATGTCTGGCCGATGCCATAGAAACCGTGCATCTTGAAGTCACTCACGTAATACAGTGAAGACCTCAGCCGCCAGCCAATCACTGGGTAACTGCACAAAGCACTGGGCAGCTGACCACGGGTAAGGACAGAGCTGGCAACACTTATGCGCAGTCCTCCGGACAAAAGACCTCGGAGTCTGGACCCTCTTTACAGTGGGGCCTGATGGACAGATATTTCCTCCTGCTGTGTTGGAAAGTGGAGAAACTCAGGATAGAAGGCTTTTGCTACGTGGAGAACAAATTCTATGATTGTAACAAGGAACAAACAGGTCAGGGCTTCAATAACGCTCTTAAAGGACACACTGTAATTTCGGCAAAGTGTTCACTGTTTGGCATACATACTGCCTAGGTATGGATGGAACCATAAGTTGTAAAAAACTGAGATGCATGATTAAAAAAAACAAAAAAAACAAAACAAAAAAACAAAACAAAACAAAAAAAAAAAACTAGGTGATAGAACCTAATTCCTACAAGATTTAGAAACTGACCCTGGAGACGGAGACCTGACCTGGACCCGGAGAGTCCCCTTCAGTCGCAGTCAGAGGCAGCAGTGGGTGCAGGAGACAGGGATTCCTGAGTGCTCTTCCAGCCCCAGCCCCAGCCCCCCAACTCAGTCCATGGTTGGCAAAACATGGCAGGCCCTGGCAGAGCCACGCAGAGCAGCGGCAGCGGCTGAGCAGGGTCACACTGGATTTCACAGAGCTGGGGACTCGAACGCCAGCAAAACAGCGCCAGGGTCACCTCGCTGCCAACGCCCCGGAGTGAAAAGAGAGAGGGGCCCTGCAGACACAGTAAAGAGCCTGCAGCTGGACAGCAGACGGGCGCATTCTGCTCCAAAGTAGGACTGGGGTGCCCAGACTCCCTTCAGCTGGTCTTAGCCCTGGCTGGGAAGGCCTGAGGCAGCCCCCTGCCCTGCCTCCAGCGGTGCAAGCAGGCAGAGGCCTCGGCCAGGGGCAGACAAAGGCACTGCCCCCTCCCCTACACCCCACAGCTGAGAGCACTCATTGCTGGGGCCAAGCTCAGCCCTGCAGCCAGCAGCCATCCTCCTGCAGGCCTGGTGGGACCTGCAGGGACAAAACCAGAGGACAACAGAACAGAGGAAATCAGAATTATCCACTCGAATTTCCTGGAATGACAGCAGCAGAAAACAAAACAAACAAACTCGATGTGCATGAGGCTAGAGGAAATCAGAAGAGAAATAATTTCACAGGTAGACGAGGATGACAGCAATCATGGAGGCATTGCTCCAAAAATCTAGAATAGATACAGAGAGGAACACAGAAAAATGATGGAAGCTGTGAATGCCAAACACAGAAAAAAATGGAATCCATGAAATAGATTCAAACAAATATCCAGGAAGTTAAAAATTCCATTGAAATTTTGCCAACCCAGTGAGAGATATAGAAGATATAATATCAGACCTAAAAGACAGGATCAAGACTGGTGATCACAAAAAGAAAGATCTCTGAAGAGTAGCAATCGGCCATGAAAAAATAACCCAACAGCTACAAGACCACGCAAACAGAACAACGCGAGACTGATCAGTCATTGGAAAGGCAGGAGTCAGCACAATGGGATAAAACACCTGTCTTCAGAGTAACAGACAATAACTGCCCAAGCAGGGAAAGGAATTTGACACACCGGTAAGTGAGACACAGAGAGAGAACTCAAATTTCAATTTAATTTATGCATTGGGGCGCAAAAAAATTGAAAATGAAACGTACAAGGTAATTGTTACAACAGCACACACACACAGTCACAAAACAGAATAGATTTAAAGGAAAGTCTCCATGCTGCAATTACAAAACATATAATGAATTTAAAGTGACCTAAATGTTCTTTGTCTAGACCACAGTAATTTTTCCCATCTAATTTCTTTTCAGATTTATCTATTGATTAGAAGCAATCACAGTTTGAAAGACTTTTCTGAAGAAATTCACAGTGTTCAATAGTCAGGAACAAAAAGGTTCACAAAGATACAGATGACTGAGGTCATGGAGAATCAGATCACCTAAGTTAAAGATTTATTATCAGTTCATCTTATTGAAAATCATATGGTAATGCTATAAAGACAGAAAACCAGGTCAAGATGAAATAACGCTCTATATAAATGGACAATTAATTTTAGACACATTCCAAAGTAATTTAGTGTATAAAAAAGAGTCTTAACAATTGGGGTTGCAATCACTAACAGAAATATAGGAACTTTAACTTTCTAGCTTTATCATAATAAAAATATTCAAGATGCATCATCAGCTCATGAATAAAAGTAAGCACTCCACACACTGCTCTGTAGAACAGTACTATGCAATAGAACATTTTTTGGTGATGATCTGAAGATTGAAATTTCTATATCTGTACATTCTACATGGTATCAAGCTGCTGGCATGTGGCTGCTACTGCTGAGGAAGTCAATTTTAATTATAGCTAGAATTTGAATGGGCATTCGTGGTTGGTGAATCCTTTCAGGAAGGACAGTTCTACAAGAGCACTTAGAAAACATGTTTACAGTACTGAAACTGACCAAATTGTCTTGGAACTCAAAATGTGCTAATATCAAAAATATGGGTATCACACATATCCTCATGTGCATACATATCCTCATGTGTGTGTGGACACACACACACACACACACACACACACTTCATCAGGAAACTTTAACAGTGAGATCAGTTCAGACTGGTCAAAATAATGCATACACCAGTAGTAGGCATTTACAAAGACTATGTAACGTACTCCTACAAATCAGCAACAGCTCAAATCCACATGATCTGGTTCATGATGAATAAAAGACAGAAAACAGAGATCAGGTGAAATGACCCTGATAACCCTGATCCTGTGATGATAAACATAAAATGTCTCATAGATTCATGGAAAGGTACTCCTGGAGCACAAAAGAGCTGAATGCACATGACTCCATGCTGGAATGGGACAAAGTTCCACCACTTTGACAAACTCCTTAGCGCGGTTCCATGAAGTTACAGAAGCAGAATGTAGAAAGTTCCAGCAGGGCATCTGGGCTACCATACCACCTGAGCAGCTTAAATATCCTTCTGAGGATGTCTTCAGGTTGTCCTTCAATCTGCTGTTAGTTTTTAGACCCATGAATGAACTCAGTTTGTGACAAACACTTGCTGGGACAGAGGAGGGGCCGTGCTTTAGATGGTGCGGGGCCCCTGGGAGAAGACAGCTGCCGAGCTCTAAATGAGTTTCACTAACAACTTAGAGCCCTGCGTATGTCTGTCTCTTAAAAATATTCTTACTTAAGCGCCTGTGAATATTATTGAAGGTTAGAAGTTAAACAGCAAATCAAATAGTATTTGGTTTACAGTGTAGATAGAAGTAAATACAGCATACGCCAAAGCCAAGCAGGAGGGTGACACAGAAAGCAACATCGCTGTACGTTTCCTATGCTGTTTATGAGTTATTAAATTTTCCAAGTGACATTTTGAAGATTAAAGACGTGTACTGTATAACCAAAGGGTCAACAAAAAAACATAAAAGGGAATAAAAACGAACCAAACTCTTTTCACCCAAACAATACAAGATAGAGACCCGCGTAATGGTCAAACACCCAGCTGGCAGAACGAAAGGGAAATATCACAATAATTACGCAAGTGTAAAACAATTCACTGTAGCTATAAGATAAGACAAAACCGGGTGAAAAGCACAGTCTGGCCGCTTTGTCATTGCTGCTGTAACAGTTTGCCGTGACTTTAAACAGAAAGGAAGACCGTGCATCATACTACTTCTTCTGGAGACCAGGGATGTCAAAGGCATGCTCAGGGCGCCGTCCCTCTGCGGGGACCAAGGAGAATCTGCATCCCTGACTATCCCAGCTTGCAGAGGCCATCTGCCTCCTCCACCACTGCCCCTGGTCACCTCAGACATGCTTCTGTCTCTCCCTCTGTCCCTCCCTCCACCCGTGCCTCACGGTCTCTTGTGATGCCATTGACTCTCAATCCTAGACACTTCAGGGCTCTCCCCCATCTTGACATCCTCAATCAGAGCTTCAAAGAAACCCCTGTGCTCATGGCTCTGGGATCTTGGTGGACATCTTTAGGGGGCCTCCGTACACTCCATCACAAGCAGCTACAGATTATGACAAACACTTTAAACATAGAGACTCAGGCAGGTTGAAATTAAAACTGTTACACAAAAACTGCCTGCCTAGGACACAGCTTGGAAAGCTAAGCTAAAAGTCAGAAAGCTGGAAAACTTCAAATAAAGAACACGAGAGAGATGCAGGAGTTACACCTCAATATAGAAGTGCTCATTTTCAGGAACACAGTGACATCTTGTCTCCAAAATGACTTTAAATGCCCAGAATATAAAACCAAAATCCTGCGTCCCTTCTCTCCCTGTCCCTCTCCCATCTGTTGATCTCCTGCCTCTTTCTTGCAGAAAGTCTGTCTCTCTACTTCCCATGATCTCTCTTTCCTTTTGGTTTTTATTTATATTTTGTGTTTCTCATATAAGAGAAGCCGTGTGATGTTTATGGTGTGCATCCGATTTATTTCAGTTAACCTTGGCATCCCCAGGTGCATCTGTTTGCCTGCAAATGGCTTAAGTGTACCTTTCTTTATGGAAGGTTAGTACTGCATTATGTAGGCACATCCCACTTTCTTTCTCCATTCTTTTGCTGATGGATGCATAGACTGCTTCCAAGGTTTCCTATCATGAATTACACTGCTGTAAGCACAGGTGGGGAAGGACCACTGTAACCAGAGGGTCTTCACTACTTCTGGAAGATGCTGAGAAGAACATTCAACATCTTTCTGTAACCGATAAATCAAATACATTATGCAGAAAAATCAGCAAGTCACTTGAAGTAATTTAATAATCACTGTCTTCAACACTTGGCATACAGGGTATTTTAACAGTCTTACTTTGGGTCATAAAACAGTTCCTGATAAATTTCAGAGGTGTTGAAAATCATGCACCACATAGGGGAGCACAGGTCTCTGCCCCAGGGGGAGAAGTGCTTTCCTACACCGTTGGAGAGGAAGCCGGCCCTGTGTCTGTGCTCCTCTCTACCTACCACTTCGCAGAGCCCTTGGACGACTGTGGAGATAAACCATGCAGGAAACAGCGAGAAAAAGAACACAAAGAAAGGAAATCATACACTACTACATCCCATGATCATAATGGCCTGAACTGGAAAACACCCAGTAAGTTTTTAACTTTCAAATATTTGATTATTATCAATATGAGCCATAACCCAAATGAGTTGGGACGGTAAAGTATGCAAGGGGAGTTAAACATGGTACAAACTAACTGTTACAATGTATCAAAGGTAGGCCAATTAGCTGAGATCTGGAGTATCCAGGTGCAGGTCTAAGAGCCCCAGGGAGAACAGTGCTCGGCATGGCCATTTTTGCTGCTACTGTAAAAAGGCAGATAAATAGAGCAAATTAAAACCTCAATAAATATGTGAAAGAAAAAATTTAAAATCCAACCGTGCATACAAATGAAGTTTATTCTCTGAAAAAAATTCACAGTGATAAACCTCTAGCAAGACAGATGAAAGAGAAAAGAAATGGAGGATATTGTTTCTCAAGAATAAAGATAATAATTAGATGTTATGATAGCTCTGTGCTAATCAATTTAAAAAGTTATATGAAATAAACAGGATTTTAAAAGCTGATCTATCAAAATGAATACAAGTAGAGATAGAAAGTGATCTAGACTCGTCAAATAACTCTGTACTTAAATAACTTGGAGATACTCACAAAAAAGCCTTCATGGCCGGATGGATTCACTGATGAACTGCACTGAATGGTGGTGAGGAAAATGTGCTTCTTCTGCCCGAGCTCTTTAATAGAATAGAGGAGGAAACTTAGCAGCTCACGTTAGGAGTCAGGGAAACTCCGGTGCCAAACCAGATATGTGGGAAATGATTATAAAGGTATAAGCTCATGACCATCATTGAAACAATATAAAATCAATCACACAATGTATTCAGAGATACGAAATATGTAATCAAGTAGGTTTTACACAGAAAGACAACCAACATTGGAAGGCCATTCAGTGTAGTGAATTACACTATCACTTTTAAAGCTGTATGACATGCCAAGGTCCAGAAGAGGCACCTGATGGGTCTTCTGGAAGGCCTGCACTGAGTTCCACAGAACAGTCCCAGAATCTCAGCCCGACTAGGTCCAGAAACAGTGCGGACTGGTGTAGGAGACCCTGTAGCCAATTAAGCTGCAAACAATAACTAGTTAAATTGTAGCCGGTTGACAGGTTGATTGTCAAAACTGTAGCCAATTACCGTGTTTGTTGTCCACTTCTGCTTTCCTATAAATGCCAGCAGATCAGACTGTCAGATTGGTGTCCCCTGAACCTGTCCTCTAAGCTGCCCAATTTGCAAGCTGTTTCTGCTTCTGCTCAGGCAGACTCTGCTTGGAATAATTGGCTTGAGGAATTTGCTCTTTTAAGGGACAAAAGTCATCATGTTTCAAAATGAAATCTCTCAGGAGACTCAGATGGAAAATACATTTCTTTAATCTGAAGCAGTCTATATAAATGTATACAGCGAACACTGAACTTAATTGTGAAATCTTGAAGGTTTTCTTTGCAAGCTCAATGAAAATTAAATTTGATGCCCATTGGTAACACTTGAATGAAACATTATACCAGAGGTTTGCTATTTCAATATTGCAGAAAAATAAAAAGAGTTTGCATGAATGGAAGGAGGAAAAATTGTTTTTATTTGCAGATGACACTATTGTGTATGTAGAAAAGCCCACATGGAACCTAAGAGACAATAAATCCTTAAAAATTAATAATAGTGTTTAGCAGTACTGTAGGGCAGAGTGAACATACAAAAGTCATTGAGATCAGGAATAAACATTTTGTAAAAACAAACTTAAAACTATGAAAAACTAAAACATTAAATACAAGAATTAATCTGACAAATTATGTCCAAGAACTCTGTGCTGAAAACCATACAACATTTCTGAGCGGAATTAAGGAAAACTTAATAATAAGGTACTGTATTCTTATGAGTTGTGAGTCCTGAGAATATAAAAATATCAATTTTAAAATTGATCTTTAAATGAAAGATCAGTTGAAATCCCAGTAGGATTTGTAATTTGGATTTTTTGGGGGGTTTTGTACTGATTCTACACTTGGATTTGTAATTTGGATTTTTTGTTTGTTTTTGTAGGAATTGTCAGACTGATTCTAAAACTTACATGGCATTGCAAATCACTAACAAAACAACTTGCAAGAAAAACAAAGGCTTACACTACCTGCCTTCAAGACTTCCAAGAAAGCTGCTGCCCTCAGGATTCAATGCAGAGTGTGAGCTCAGCCCTCATTGTTTCATACACTGAAACGTGGCTCAATATTAGAAAAATTTCATCTCAAAAAGAAAAAAGTAAAACATTATAAAAAGTGAACTGCAGAAAGCTTGCAGAGAACTGCCCGGGTCTTGTTTGAACTGTGTGGATTTGGCTGGTGACTAAATGTGCCTGAAACTCGCCTACAGAGTTGCTGTCCACCAGAATTCACTGTTGAAGTTTGCTCACAGAACTGAAAATGCAAGCCCTCTTCCTGACTGTATCCAGCTGGTGAATCCTTAGCAGGTAGCGTTCCCTGTTAGTCCGATGCAGGACCTGGAATCACAGGCGAACCACTCACCATACTCCCAAATTTGCCTTTCCTTGAGACACAACCAAACATGAACCTTTTGGGTCTAAGTTTTAGAAATCCTAGACCCCTTCTGGTGCATGACCCATTGAAGCAGAAAATATGTTCCGGAGACAGTCTGAGATCCTATTCTTGGTGCTGCTTGGTGGAACAGAAATGGGTATCATGGGCAACGAGCTGACCAATGAGATCTATACTACCTATAGAACACTTATTGGGGTTTATGACATATAGTGATTGCTATAAATAATAGTTTTTAATTTACACTGGGAAAGGTGTCACCATGGAAACTGAAACCAGGAGAGTGCATAATATCCCCAAGGCTTCTGGAATGTACGTGAGGCCAGGGTTTTTGAGCAGAATGGGTGTAAGGTGTGACCCTGAGAATGATGTGACTGACAGGAAGGGTCTGGTACAGTCAGGAAGGGTAGTGTGGGAAATCACAACCACAACCGTGGGAACATGGTGATGCTTAGTTCTCAGCTGAGCCCGAAGCACTGGGCAGGGGCTGCAGACAGGGGAGGTGACTGTGCAGGAGACAGAGCATCCACATGGCAACAGCCACCTGAGAGGGGCACCTCGCGGAGTATGGTGACAAGGCCAAAGTTACAGGCGCCTTCTGGGTTCTGCCTCAGAGGCCTTGAGCACTGCCAGCTGGAGGGGGAGCCATGATGATCAGTTTATATAGGAGCCACTTTGATTTTTTAAGTAGAGTCAGCTGACAAGCCTGAAGAATGCTTTAAATGGAAGACATCAGGAGCTTGCTCAGGAGGCCAGGAGGCTGGCTGGACCTCTGCATTCAGCACAGGGCTGGTTCCCATCTGACCTGCTTTAGTCAGTAGGCTGGGGTGACTTTGGAACAAGCACGTCTGGCCCGAGCATCCACCCTGCTAAGTCCTAAGATGCTGTTCCTGCAGAGGAGGGCGGGCGATGGGCTCCTAAAATTCTCTTTTCAGCCACCTACTGCTGATTCTCCTCTCTGACGCGTATTTCCGGTTTCCATATTCTCTGCTCTGTGCCCTCTCAACAGTGATGTTCTGACTGTCACCTCTGTCCACTTCTGCAAGGCTTCCTTTGTCTCTGTCCTCAGTGATCCCACAGACAGCACGGATTTGAAAGGCAGCTCCGCACTTTTGCCAGGTTACACTGATCGCTGAGCCCTTCTGCCTGGTTTTCAGGCACCTCACATTCAGCCCATTTCAAACTAAGCCCACAGTCATCTCCCAAAGCATTTATTTCTCTGTTTTCTCATCTGAATTAGTAGCTTCACATTTGTGCCGTGGTCTGCATAGTCATCTCGGCATTTGTCCTGTCACTTACCTCCAGGAGTAATTAAGTGGCTGTTTTGCCCCGTAAATCATTGCTGTAATCTTTGACACCAGCATGCTTGAAATAGCCTCTGCACCGGCTCCAGGCTGCATCATTGGCCTTAGCGATTCCCAGAATCACCTTGGGAAACTCTGCCAGCAAATCAGCCCCGCCTGAAAATGTTAAAGACTTGCTAAATCAGAAACTCAGGGCCAAGAAGAAATGCTACTTCCCTGAATCAGGAAAGATAATGCCAAGAACAGCTTGGAACTTTTGTATTCTCCCACATGCCTAGTGCTGTGCGCTGCAGAAATAGGGAAGCCAAGGTTTCTGATACCAAGCAAACATTGTACACAGCAAAGGTGCCCTAATCGGAACCCAAGCTGAGGGAAGCCAGCCCCTGTTTGACAGGGCACTGAACTGTTAGCTCAGAAAATTGCACCACAGGTGATGAAGGCCACCAGGGGGTTGGTTTCCATTAGGTTTCCCAGAGGTAAAGCACCTAAGGAATTTCTTTGACTAAATCTGCCATCCTGCATATGTAAAATACACAGTTAAGCTCTCCTAGTAATTAGCCTGCACATGTGTGTCTCAGGATTGAGAGGCTCAAGGAGTTTAAAGAGTTTGCTAATTTTGGTGGAGAACCAAGGGCAAATTGGTTATATTTTCAAAGTTAAAAACAATACAGGCATCAGAATATTTTTGCTGCTCAAAACAAAGAATATTGAATCACCAACTCAAAAATTTATTTGCAAAACTAAGCGAGTACTTTTTTTTTTCTTTCACAAGAATGATATTTAAGGAAATATATATATACATAGAGCCAAGGTATAGCTCAGTGGCAGCGTGCCTGCCTGGCATATGCAAGGTCCTGAGTTCAGTTTCGGGGGAGGGAAATTCCCCAGCTAGATGTATTTAGCCATCTCCTAGTCTAATGTGTCCATTTCCTTTGGCCTGGGCTAAAGACCGCCTTCACCTGACTCATAAGCCAGCATTTCACAGCGCAACACCCGGGTCCTCTCCTCAGGTACCTAATTCATTGCCAGCCTAGACGAGGTTCTCAGTGTTCAAATTCAAACCCTTTTCTATGTGTTTACTATCGCTGCCCCAATCTAAGCTGGCATTACAGTAGGCCCCGGCTTGGGGCACTCTCACGTGCAGACACAGAGAAGGCTTCCTAAGGATGGCAGTTGGCTGTGGATTTCTGTGGGCTGAGGAGGAAGCAGAGATGAGCAAGTGATGCGGTGTCGGATTGCTTAAATCAAAGGGAACATTTCATCACCTTCAAACAATTTAATGCTCACCTGCAGTTTCTGCAGTGAGTGAAATGAAATAGAAATAAGAAATAAGCCCAGTAATGAGGTGGCACTTCTGCTTTCCTTGCCAGAAAGCTACCAAGAAGACACAAAATACCACCTCAGCCAAAACAAGATTTGAATAACATTCAGAATCACATAATTTAACACAACAATGTCTAGGTTTTATTGTAAATCACTCATCATACTAACAAGCAGGAAACTATCAGCCCGAGTGGAAAGACATTCTTCTGTAAGTAAAACCTGCGTAGCATGTTAGTTCTGTGCAGATGGAACCATTTCCCACAGACTTAGTGGCTTAAACTCCACAAATTCATTTTGCCGTAGCTTTTGTGGGTCCAAATTCCAGAGACCAAAGGCTGGAGTCAAGGGCTGGGAGAGTTAAAAGGTAGGTAAACATGACAGTGGCTGAGAGAAAGAAGGTCAAGGGGAGGGAAGAGAGTGAGTACTGTTTTACAGTGGAATGCAGAACTTTCCGGAACTGGAAGCAAGCGTCACAGGTAAACTAAGGAACCAGTCAGTGTGCTGTGTTTTCAGTGGGTAGCTGTGTTTTGAAGAGATCCCAGCATGTGTCAGTTTCCTTATGCAATCAGATGTGGTCTTTCACTTTGTGGATGCCCTGTGTGTCTTTTTGTGGCTTCAGATACTCTGCATTCTGGTCATTCTGAATCTCTGACCGTTCCCTACAGAAATATTTGACTCATTTTTGTGTCTGCTCTTGAAACAATTAATTCCATACAAATTGCATAAACCGAGAGCTCCTTGTCTTACAAAGCTGAAGAACGAAATCACAGACAAAAGGAGGGAGCCACAGGGGTGTTCACTCCTGGTGAGGGTCCAGGGGAATCCTGGAAAAGGGGGTGGCATTGGATCCCTCAATCTAGAACATTTCATGGGTAAGTGGAGCATGGGAATTGCTCCGTGGTTTAGTGGTCCCCTATCAACATGGTTTAAAATGACCCAGTTAGATCTCTGCTCCCTACCCCACTTACTCGGCATACAGGATTTCAAGGAAAGTGGAATTTTAAAGGAAAACTCATTCTGTTGTTAGTGTATAGGAATGCTGTTGATTTTTGAGTATTGACTTTGTATCCAGCTACATTGCTGAATTTATTTATTATATCTAGGAGACTTTCAATGGAGTTTTGGGGGTCTGCTATGTAGAGTATCATGTCATCCACAAATAATGATAATTTAACTTCCTCTTTTCCTATCTTTACCCCTTTTATTTCTCTCTCTTGTCTAATTGCTCTGGCTAGTATTTCCAGTTCTATATTAAATAGGAGCGGTGATAAAGGACATCCTTGTCTTCTGCCTGATTTCAAGGTAAAGGCCTTCAATTTTTGGCCATTTAGTATGATGCTGGCTGTTGGTTTGTCATAGATGGCCTTTATCATATTAAGGTAAAAACCGTCTATTCCAATTTTCTGTAAGGTTATTATCATAAATGAGTGTTACACAATATCAAAAGCTTATAAGAGAAACCACACCCTTCACACTAGCATCCAAAAAAATGAAATACTTAGGAATTAATCTCGCAAAAGAAGTAAAAGATCTATACAGGCAAATTATAATACCCTGAAAAAAGAAATCAAAGAGGATCTCAGAAAATGAAAAGACACCCCTTATTCATGGATAGAAAGAATAAATATTATGAAAATGGCCATTTTCCCAAAACTGTTATACAGATTCAATGCAATCCCAATGAACATACCATCAACATACCTCATACATCTAGAGAAATCACTCCTAAAATTCATCTGGAGTGAGAAGAGACCTAGAATAGCAAAGACAGTTCTAAGCAGCAAAGTCAAGGCAGGAGGTATCACAATCCCTGACTTGAAGTTATACTACAAAGCAACTATAGTAAAATCAACATACTATTGGAATGAAAACAGATCTGAAGATCAATGGAATAGAAGGTAAAACCATAACTACAAACACAACCAACTTATCTTTGATAAAGGAGCCAAACATGTACACTGGAAGAATAACAATATCTTTAATAAATGATGCTGGAAAAACTGGCTCTTCATATGCTGAAAACTAAAACTAGACCCATGCCTATCACCTGGTACTAAACTAAAATCTAAATGGATCAAAGATCTGAATATTAAAAGAGAAACACTAAATCTGTTGGAAGACAATTAGGCAAAAATCTTGAGGACTTAGGGGAAGGTACAGAATTCATGAACAGGAATCAAACTGCACAAGAAATACTTCCTGGAATCAATAGCTGGGATCACATCTTATTGAAAGTTTCTGCAAGTCAAAAGAAATCTCCAGCATAGTGAAAAGAAAACCCACAAACTGGGAAAAAGTCTTAGTGAACGGTCCCTCAGACAAAGGACTTTTGTCTAAAACATATAAAGAATTTTAAAAAATCAGATTCCCTGAAATTCAAGGGCCCAATCCAACAATGGGCATCTGAGATCAATATACAGTTCTCAGATGAAGAAATACAAATGGCAAATAAATACACGAAAAAATTTTCACCATCATTAGTCATTAGAGAAATGCAAATTAAAACAACACTGAGATTCTATCTCACTAGAGAAAGAATGGCCAGGATCAAGAAAAATACCAACAACAAATGCTGGAGAGGCTGTGGGGGAAAAGGAACTCTCCTGCACTGTTGGTGTGAGTACAGACTGGTGCAACCACTGTGGAGGTTCAGTCTGGAGATTTCTCAGAAACGTGGAATTGGAAGTCCCATTTGACTCAGCTATTCCACTTCTGGGCATATTCCCAGAAGAACTTTAAACATCATACCACAGTGATGTATGTGCACCCATGTTTATAGCAGCACGATTTGCAATAGCCAGATCTTGGAAACAACCTACATGTCCATCAACTGAGGAATGGATTAAAAAGTTGTAGTATTCTTATACAATGGAGTACTACTAGGCTATAAAGAATGATCACATTGAAATATTTATAAATAAATGGATGCACCTTGAGACCATACTCATAAGTGAAATAAATCAAACTCAGATTTATAAATATTATATAGCCTCCTTAGTGTGAGAAATGGTAGGAGTACATCAGATTTTATGGTAATCATGATTCCCTATTACATTGCTTTGAAGCCTTATAGTGTTTTCATTCATTAGTTGGAATGGTTTTATTCTGTTTTGTTTGATTTTATTATCTGTGATAGTATGAACAGCTATTTTGAAGGAAATAAGACATTATAATAGCCATTGCTGATTTAATATCATCTTACTCTGAAGTCCTACCATGTTTTTTGGTCTTCTGTTTCCATTGGTTCTATCATGTTGTATCTTACTGGATTTTAATATGTGTGATAGTATAAACAAATTTTTTATGGACAATGAGATAATATAAGCCATTGTTTATTTTCTGTTGTTTGGCTCTGAATGCCCTGTAAAACTTTCATTCTCTTGAATGGTTTTATACTATTTTGCTATGTTTGATACTATTGTATGTGAAGGTATGCTCAACTATTTCAAGGAAAGAGACATTATGGTAGCCGCTGTTGTCTTGTAGTGAAATACTGTGTTGCTTACATTGTTCTGTTCTGATCTGCTTTGTTCTGTCCTCTTTTGTCTTAATGTCCCTAAAATAAAAAAATAAATAAATAAAAAAGTAAAACTGGTTCTTCAGCGATTTAAATTCTTTGAAACTCAGGAGCTCAGTGAAGAGGGGCCAAGGGCTAAGTTTCCGGGTTGCCTGAGGAAGTTCATTTGTGGTCCCAGGTCCTCCTGAGCACCTGTTCTTATTTTAATTCTCATCTATGACTGATCACCCTGCCCTATCTCAGGCCGTCTTCTTGGCTGCTGCCTAGTCACACTTGGCTAAGCTGTCTCTCACAGTCTTTCTAAACTAACCCTGGAGTGCAATATTCCATCTTCTTTTGTGGAATAAATTATACAAGCAGCAGTCTCAAATGGGCACCCTACACTAATCCCTTCTGACTCCTCAGGTAACACACTGGTTTTGACCCATGACACTCTGCCCCTCCTATGGTCGCATGACTGACAGATCTGTTAATCTTCCTCCCTGTGCTCGCTATGTGAGAGGGCCTGACCTACCTGACTGTGGAGGCCGAGAAGTCTCCTGAGCTGTCATTTGCAACCTGGAGACCCAGGGGAGCTGATGAGAAATGCACATCAGAATGAGAAAAACCAAATCACACAAAAACATTCCCCAAGCTCAAAGATGACATAAGGTAGAAAATCTATCATACTCAGCCTGTTGTACCCAGGCATCCAAAGTCCTGGCCAGTCCCCCGCACATGAGGAAGAGCTCCTGCTTTGCATAGCTCAGCAGTTCCACCGCTAATGCCTTCCAGAAACATCCTCACAGTCACACCCAGAATATGCTTCACCAAATGAGGGCACCCGTGCCCTGTGCACGGGTAAAGTTAGCGATCACCTCCACAGATACAGCACTGCAGGTCATGGGGTCTGGTGACTGCCTGCCAGGTTCTTGGTTACGAGGAGCAAAGAATTAGCCATAGACACAAGGCCCCAGAACCTGACAAAGATTACTGATAGAAAAGTGCATTCAGAGAGAGTGGGCTCGCCCTGGCCAAAGGGAAACAGCGTGCGAGCCACAGGCTTAGAGCAGGGCAGTTAAATGTCCTGCTCCCTCCCCGAGGCACTTTCCCTGGGAGTCCGGAGGGTGGCTGGAAACACCATCCATCAGCAGGGTGCTGAGCCATCTCTGCCTTCTGCTGTGTGTGTCCTTTCCTGGAACTGCTCTGCTGTAACCCTATGCACAGGGTGCGGTCCCTATGCAGGGACTTCCCAGGAGCGCCAGGGGACCCAAGGGCAGTGGTCCCACAGTTGGTGGAGGGGAGCCATCTAGGAGCCCCTAAATGTGCTATTTCTATTAATACTGAAATTCTCAAATTCAGGGACTGGTGTGTGGGGTTTTTTTTGTTCCCTATTAGTGACAAGCATCTAGGAAGGTTCAGTGAACATCTGTTAAGTGATAAAAAGTCTGTTTAAAAATTATTTTATTTTTATTTTTTAAAGGGTAAAACTAAACATAGCAAAACAGAACAAAGCAGATCAGAAGAAAACAATGTAAGTGACACAGATTTCAAAGCAAGACAACAGGAGGTCTGCAGTGGCTACCATACTGTCTCTTGGTTTCTTTAAACAGTTGTCCATATCTTCAAAATGAATTCATACAAAACAAAATAGTATAAAACTGATCAGAACAGGGTATTGAAGGCATTATAGGCCATTATAGGCACTGTGTCAACTACTTAAATCACAGCAGAAACATGCAAAGGCCTTTAGCGGCTAACCATTATCCACTGACCTGTTTTGTGTGGTCCTCATAGTCCTTAGGAAAGTGTTTTCCAAGCTCCAATAAGCCTCATTAAAACTGGATTTTGTGGATTTGATTTATAGTGAAACAATTGGCATGCATTACAATTCTGAGATTTAGGGACATAATTATAACCTGGACTAGACATTCAGGAATATAAATACAATGGAAAGAGAGAGAAAATCTACAAAGTGAACATTACTATGCTAAGTTAATACACTATTACTTAACAGCAGCTGCCAGCCAAAACTGAACCACAGCCCTAGACAATATGCCCCTGCGTCTTTTTATAGAGAGAAAGCCACTCCCTTCCCAGTTCCTCAGCCAGCACCACCAAGAAGCTAAATCCTGGGATATTTTTATCATCCTCTCTTACTCAAAACTACAAGGTGTTGCAAACTGATGATTCATACTTGTATTAATAGTATTTAAAATGACAGGATCCTAAAGCTACATCATTTTTGCAGAATCTCCCATTCCTGACCTATGTGGGCGTCCACACAAGCTCCCCTGGAAACAGCCAGGCTCCTGCTTTACCTGCCCTGCGGACGCCCGTGCAGTCTGCTGTGCACCTCTGTCCGCCGGGCCTTTCCTGCGTTTCCCCTTCTAGCGTTCACACCTCTCACCTCTCCTTCACTCCTGGACTTCGCCAGTTATTTAATTACTGGAAGATGGAACACAGCATGAACCCAAAGCTCTAAACTTAAAGACAGCGCGAAGAGAAGATTGCCTCAGCAGGAGGAACTGTAGCAGCTCGATGTCTGCCCCATCTGAATCCTGTGAATACCAGTTGTGGCTCGTTTTGTGCAAAACTCTGTTCCATTGCTGACACCTGCCCGTCCCGTGCTGCGTGAAGGAGAGCCCTTACACAGCCACACAGCACCACTCGGTGGATCAGCCCGCACCTGGGGAGGCTGAGTCAGCGCTCATCCCTATCAGACGTGTTTCATCTGTGGCCTGCCTGCTCTGAGTTGGCAGCACTAAGTGGAGTCCTCTGGTGTGCACAAGACACATCAATCACACAGTTTCCTTTAGTTTTGATTTTATTACATCACAGACCTGTGCAACCTGTGGACCATAGTTTGAACCCAGATTGTCACATATTCACAATGAAACAGAAAAGTTCACGAGCCCTAGCTCCAGAAGAAAGACAGAGACAAGCTCGAACTCTTTAAGGGACTCAATTTAAACTTATAAAGAGATTTAACAGAATCCATAAGAGTGAAAGCAGTTTCAATGCTTAGACCCTTTGTTACCTGAAGTTTACTGCCGTTAAGCTCTGGGAGAAAAGAATCCATCCAAGTCTGCAGACTTCTGTGTGTTTAGGGAGTTGTGGACATGACGGGTGGTTTACAGCTGTTACACATCTTTAGCCACAGGTGACAAAGTAATATTATCAGTTATTAGCAATTACTATTGAACATAGTGACTGCTGAATAGGCACTGTTCTAGTGCCTTTGGACATATTA